TGACAATCTTTTGGCCGACTTCTCTTGGGCCTGGGGAGGATTGTTAGTGGTTAAAAACAATTTCCATGATTTTTTTTTCAGATAAAAGGTTATCCACAACTTTTTGATCATTTTGCTTATGATGAATGAAGAACTAATCCAAAGAGCAACATCATCCCATGTAGCCACCTTCCTTGTCCTGCTTTTAAGATGTTATCTGCCAGCGTTTTTATTTAAAAATTACTTCCGCAGTTATGTTTTTTAAAGAAACATAAGAACCCCATACCTAAGATCATTGCTGCTCTCCTTTAGCCTCATCCAGCCCACAGGGATGAACCAACTTATGCTTCAACTCCATTCGCAGTTCTGATGAAAGAGTTGAGATATGGGGATGGTTCTGGCTGAATGCCAAAACCCACCTGTGTCTTTGGGCACTCACCTTGTAGCACAGACCCGTTCTTTTCCACACACCACCCTAATAACATGGATTTTCCCAATCCCTGGTGCTGCTGTGTTTCCACAGTGTCTGCTAATAAGGCTTGGAGAGATGGGAGGGCGGGCAGGTGCAGGGAAGGGAATGGGAATTCTTTTTACTGCACACTTTATTACTACCTCAAGGCTCAAAATTTCCACCCAAGCACTTAAACCCCCCAGCCCTCAGGGCACAACAGGAAATGTCCAAGCTGAAGCACATCACAGTGGTTCAAACCAACCCTTGGAGCCCTGGCAGCTCCTGGTGCCCAGCCCCAAGAGTCTGTTGGCAGATTTTGTGCCCCTCAGCCCCTGCCAAGTGCTGTGAGGGGCATTGACAAGGCCAGAGCTGCCCAGGGCATGTCACCCCACCATGGTGGCACTGTGAGCCATGGACCTGGTGTAACATCATGACCACCAACACTCGGGGAGGCAGGCAGGCTTAGGAAAATAAACAAGAAACCTTTTCCTTTGTGTCTCACAGTGCACACATCAATTCATGCCATGATGCTCAGCTTCTGGACAGCTAATCCTGCAGGTACAGCGTGTGGTTTACATCCTCCCAGGGAAACAAGGCGTGAGTTTGCAGGCTACTGAGTCATCTGTGGCACCACAGGGCACTGCCATGGCTGGGTATTAGTGCCACTGCAAGGCTTTGTTCCCCCAGGAACCCCATGGGATGATGAGAACCTGGGCTGCCCACACAGCACAGCCACTGCACTCCCTTGGCTCCTTCCCCAGCCTCAGCAGAGTCCCATCCAACCAAGGAAAAGTTTTTTTTTTGTTTTTTTTTTAAGAAAGAAAAGAGGAAAAGCAGAAACCAAACAAATAAATAAAGAAGCAAACGCAGCACTTGACTCCAGAGGCCTGTGCCGTGGGAAGAAGCTGTCCCAAAGTGGTGTGTCATCAGCAGCACAGAAACCCAAACAATCAGCCCCTCTGTGTGCCCTGCCAGCTGCAGCCTGGCCGGGACCAGGGGGGAACAATGGCCGTGGGGACAATGGGGATTGTTCAGGCTCCTCCCGAGGGAGCAGCCCCACGCAGCCCTGGGAGGGACCTGCAGCTGTCACCAGCTCCCAGCTGCCAGAAAAAGGGCAGATTTGGGTGCCCTCCACAAGGGCGTGTGCCCACTGGGACTCTCACAGGATGCTGGAAGTGGCAGTGAATGCTTGTTAAAGGTTTCTCTGCAGGGAAACCCTCTCCCCATGCTGAGCTGGGGTGCACGGGTGGGGGAAGCAGGGCCAGGCTGTGCAGGATGCACCCACGGCTGCTCCATCAATGCTGTTACCTGCACATACACTCACTGCAACGACACATGGAGAAGGCTTCTCCTCCTGACCTTAACTCATCCTAAAGCTGATCACTCTATCCAGGAGCCATTGAAGCCAAGTGACCCTTCCCAGCAATGCCATTAGGGAAAAAATTTCAGGGTATTTTATTTAAATATTTCAGGGTATTTATTTCCCCCATTATGGAAATAAATTCAGGGTAATAGATAAATTGGGTAGTTTATCTATTAAACATGGAGGATGGCATCTTTCTGCCCCTCTCCCCATTTGTTTTTCATGTTTCAGCCACCCTTTGGTGCTCTCCCACCCAGGACAGCATCACCCTTGGTCTGCCAAAGCCCAGACACAGCAAAATCGAGGTATTGGCTGGCAAAAACAACCAGCTCTTGGGGCAGCAGCAATTTGCTTTGGAGCTGGGGTTCCTTTTCCCCAAGAGAGTCAGAGGAGTGGCAGGGGTCTGTGTGTGTGTGTGTGTGTGCACACTATAAAGCACAGGTCCATCTGTCAGCATTGCTGGGCTATGACTGCAAGTGTTTATCTTGAAAGCCAGAGGGTTACATTCTCCAAAGTTTCCAGGGAGAAAATACAGACCCTTCCTTTGAGCTGTGTGCTGGAGGATGTGTAACCTCAATGAATTCCTCCGTTTTGTTTGGCTTGGGCGCACTGTGCCAGGTAGCATCACTGGCCAGAGGCTCTGCTGGCTTTGATCTGGGAGCTAGGTGTGCTTCACGACAGGTTAACGGCCATCAAGCCCTGCAGCCCAGAGTCTAGACTCTTCCACCTGCTCTGTACACATTAACACAGGCTCACACACAACCCGCTCTGTGCATGTACCCGTACGAGCAGCCAGTCTCACCACGGATGCAAAGCAAAGCTCCTCAGCAGCCTTCCAAAACAAGCAAACTGAGCCTCTGCAATGGACACAGCTGCACTGTGGATCCAGGGGACAACCAGCCTGTGCTCCTGCTCCATTCCCAGTCAGGGCTACCAGAGCTGGAGATCTCCTTTCCATCAGCATCTGCAACAAAACATTCCCGTGCTGCAGCTCTGTCCTTTCCCTGGAGCTCTGTGAGGGATGCACATCCCAGGTGCAAACAACACCACTCTGGGGGAGTTTGCAGTGTCAGAGAGGAGAAAAACATGCTGAAGGGCAGCCAGCCAGCCAGCTGCCTTGTATTCTGGCTGGCATCTCCTGTTCCTAACACCTAGCACCACACTCACAATGCAGAGGGATCCCAGGGGCAGCGTTATTCCTGTCACACCTCGCAGTCACTCACAGAAAACACAAGCAATTTGTCTCTCAGGTTGGACAACACTGCCTGCAGTGAGGCCACAGAGCTGCTCCCCATCACGGGGCTTCCAAGAGAAATGAATCATCCCCGAGCCAAGCAAACAAAAACAAAATAAACCCCCGTGTTTATAAAAGTACAAGGAACGGCACAGCTGCGGGCCAGAACCTTGAGAAAACAAGACAGCTTCAAAGCACCTGGAGCTGCACCCGGTGAGCAGCAGGGACAGGATGGACCAGCCAAGCTCCCTGTGGCTGCTGCTGGCCCTGGCAGCCTTGGCCCGAGCTGTGTGCTGCCAAGTGTGCAGGGGACCTGTCCTGCAGGCAGCAGAGGCAGCTCCAGCCTGACCATCCCCTGACATATATTCATGCCATTCTCTCAGGAATGTCACTGGTCACCAGAGAGGAGAGATCAGTGCCTGCACCTCCATTGGCCTTGGTGAGGAAGCTGCAAAATGTGATATCATTTCCCCTCAGTCTCCTCTAGGCTAAACAAACTTGACCACAGCCTCTACTTGTATGGCTTTCACCCTTCCTCACCATCTTTGTGCCCCTGCTTTGGACATTCTCCAATGCCTTTAGATCTTATACCGTGGCACTCAAAACTGCACATCAGTCCTGGTCACTTGCATCAGTGCCTCCGAAGGGAGATTTGGGGGTTTTTCACCCAAATTGCACACCCTGTGTCCTGGCAGCACCTGAAGTGGGCAGCTTGGTCTGACACCACTCTGGGCACTGACCAGGCACCCCCACATTGGCATTCCAAGGCTTTTGTTGTGTGTTGTTGCAGCTCCAACCAGGAAAACTAAACTCTTCATTTGACTGCAACTAATCATGATCATCTCCTTCACCCCCACAGCCAAACTCCAAGGCCACCACTCACCCCCAGAGGGCAAAGGGATGGTGAAGAGGCAGCAGCAGTACTGGGCACTCAGAATTTTACACATTGTGGTGTCATGATCCCTCCCTTTGTTTTTGGTATGGTATAACCCTCAGGGACACACAGGTCATAGCCCAGAGCCCTCAGTCATCCTCCTCCCTCTGTCCATCAGAAAAAGGAATTTAGCTTAAAAATTAAGACCTCAGGCAACCTGCACCGCTTTGGAGATTGTCTTACAGGCTGCAATGTTACAGCAAAGTTTTCTGTGAACTTCAGCAGATTTTGACCAGGTGCTGGAGTCCTTCCCAAAGCAGATGGATGTAGCTCAAATGAAGAGACATAACCAAAGAGGGGAAAAAAAAAAAGAGAAGTTCAGAAGGAACAATCAGAATTATTTGACTGGGTGCAAATCAGGCAAATAGGTTTAGCTCAAGAAGAAAAAGGTCTCTGTCTGAACCTTGTCCACATCAAATTCTGCACTGTTGTTTGGTTTGAAAACATTTTTGCTTTGAAACTCACCTCTTGTTTATTTGATTTGATGTTAAAGGGTTAAATTACCTGAAAAACTAAACAAAACTATTTGCTTTGGGCTGACTAAACTGATTAATTCAACCCACACTCCTCTCTCTTACCTCTCCAGGTTTGTTGTTCTGCTTTAAAAAGGAAAAAGCAATAGCTTTGAGCTGATCTGATTTTTGTATTTTTTTCCCTCTCACCCTCCCACACTTTTTGGTTTGGCTACCAGGCTGAGAAATCCATTACCCACAGGGAGCCCAGGCCAGCCTAACCCACATCTGACAGTAAAACAAACCAGATTCTCCATGTCTTTTTAGCCCCTGGCTTTCTTCTTGGGCTTTCCCACACACTTCCAGCTCCCACTGGGACCAGTGGCTAAGCTGGGTGTTGAGGAAGTGTTGAGGAGGGGAGCCTGTAAGAAAGGCTGCACGTTTCCCTCTTTCCCTCCTTTTTGTGCATCCATCTTGAGCTCCCTCACCTCAGCCACATCCCAGGAGCACCACGCCAGAACTGAATCCCCATGGATGCCCAAGCAGAGGCGACACCACGTCAGGAAGAAACACCAGGGAAGCAAAGATGGACTCGATATGAATCTTTAATGCACAGAACAAGCTGCCGGGAGCCTTTCCAACGAAGGCTGCACACGGAGCCACCCCGTCCGCTCGGAGTGCTACAAAAGCCCAGCTTGCCTGCAGCGTCCCGGGCACCCACCTGGCTCCCTGCCCCGGGACCCTCGCCGGTGTCACCCGCGCCACCTCCTCGGGCGTCCTCGGCCACCACGGCACCGGGGCCCCACGGCTGCTGCCCGCTGGCAGGGCAGGCAGGGCAGGGCAGGGAGGGGATCACCCTGCACCCATCAGCTCCCCTCTGCCTGGCCCTGGCCTCGAGTGGGCATCTCCTCCTCCCAGGGTTTTGGAGCGTGTAGTCCAGGAAATTCAGTAAGAAAAGATTAAAAAGGAGAGGCTTTTTTATGCTGAGTCAAATTAGGTGATTTCTTTTTTTTTTTCTTTTTTTTTTTTTTTTTTTTTTTTTTTTTCTTTTCCCTTTTAAAAAATTAAAAAAAAAAAAAAAAGGAAAAGAAATTAAAGTCCAACTTGCTCGTTTCTTGTTTCTCTGCTGTCTGTGTGAGAAAAAGTCCTGTTTGGCCTCGCTGTCCCCTTCATCACCCGACCCCAAACCCCACCAGCCACTCAGCACATCACAAGTCCTCGACTCCTCGGAGTCCCTTTGCCTCCCACAGCTCCAGGCCCCGCTCCTTCCCTCACCGCCCCTTGGACTCCCCGTAGGTGTTGCGCAGCATGGAGACCATCTTCTCCTCGCAGGTGACTTTGGTGTCCCTCAGGATGCTGTACCAGACCACGCCGGGCGGCCGCACCTCCTCGCTGCGGCAGAACAGGTAGGGCATGGTCTCGGTGCGGCTCTGGATGTAGGCGCTGCGCAGCAGCGTCGAGCAGTGGCTGCTCACCTTCTCCAGCCTCCTCAGGATCAGGTGAGCCTTCCTGCAGGGGACAGAGATGGGAACAGAGCAGGGCACGCAAGGCACAGGGGACACCAGCAGTCAGGATTTCTGCATTCTGCCACAGCTCTGTCTTGTGGCAAGAATGGGCAAGACCCATTGCCTAAGACATTTTGTTTCCTGTTCCAAGAGGAGAGAAGCTTGGTTTTTCCCAAAGTTCTGGGAATATCTATCTCTTTATTATATCTATTTAACAGCACCAAGACCTCATGTCTTACCCACTGGAGCAGCTTGTGTGCCCTGGGGACACTCTGCCCAGCTAGATTGTCACCACCACCATATGATCCTGGCCAGCTCCAGCACAAGTGCTGGCTCCACCAGCACCTTCCTGCCCCTGTGACGGTGTTTACAGGGGTCCCAGGATGAGAGAAGAGATGAGGATCTGACTCCATGTTTCAGAAGGCTTGATTTATTATTTTATGATATATATTATATTAAAACTATACTAAAAGAATAGAAGAAAGGATTTCATCAGAAGGCTAGCTAAGAATAGAAAAAGAAGAAATGACAACAAAGGCTTGTGTCTCGAACAGACAGTCCCAGCCAGCTGACTGTGATTGGCCATTAATTACAAACATCCAACATGGACCAATCACAGATGCACCTGTTGCATTCCACAGCAGCAGATAACCATTGTTTACATTTTGTTCCTGAGGCCTTTCAGCTTCTCAGGAGGAAAAATCCTAAGGAAATGACTTTTCTCTTTTTCATAAAAGATGTCTGTGACATGCCCTGACTGACCAGCACAGCCCTCCCTTTCCTGATTTCCCAAGTCTGCAGGAGGTAAACAGCCCAAAAGGACTGACACTGGAAGAGTGAAGAAAAAAAGCACAACACATTATGACAAAACAAAATAAACCCGTAAGAAACCAAGAATCCCCTTGTGGGAGTCTGCAAAGTGCTAAATCAAACAAAGGGAGGGAAGAGGGTTTACTTCAGTGGTCTGAAAGTTTCAAGATCACAGATTATTTCCTCTCCCTCTGGTGCCACAGGAAATCTCTGGATTCAGGAGTTGGGGATTTCACAGTTCCTGCAGGAATGTAAATTCCCGATAATGATATGTCAGGGGCAGCACTGTCAGTCAGCAAGGCATAAACATGGGGATTATTTGATTATGAAAGCTGAGTGGTGTTGCAGCTCAGGCTGTGAGCTGCTCCCAGCCCAGGGGGAGCATTGGGAGCCTGATGTCTGGACACCAGGGAAGGGCTGGTCAGGGTCACCTCAATGCCACCACAGAGGGCAGAGAGGGTGGCAGGAGACAAGAGGACATCCCGGCATACCCAGCCAGATCAGACTCTCCACCCAGAATGGGAACACTGGATCAAAGGCTGCAGGAAACCACTGCTCCTCCAGGGCTGCACATGGAAAACTGTCCCACTCCTCCCCAGGGTGATGTGCTCTGGGTCAGCTTTGAGGGCAAAGGAGGAATAAAGGAAGTTGGGTCTTCCTGGACAACACTCCATGGTTTCCATTTATGGGTTTTATCCACAAAGACACAAGGCAAAGAATAAAAATAAAAATTAGGATAAATATTAAAAAAATAAAATTATAATAATAAAAATTTTAGGGCAATTTTAACCTTGTTAGCTACACACATCTATAATAATGATGATGTCATGGGCTGAGCTCTGACACAACACCTCTGCTCATGTTACTCTCTCCACAGCAGCCACCTGACCTACAGCATCTGGTGCTCCCACCACACACCAAGAGCTGACACGCTCCCAGGAACAGGTCCTGTGCCCCTTGGAGCCACAAATTCCATGATGGCATTAGGTGCTTTTGGTGAAGGCTGATTGATTCAAGCTCAGCTCAGCAGCAAACCAAACTCTGTAGTGATTGTCACTACAGCTGCCAAACTTCAGCAAATCAGTCACTGCCACCACCTGTGCCACTTCCTGCTGGGATCAACCTGCCTGGATGAATTTCTTCTGACCTGTTCCTAAGGTCAGGAGCTGGTGATTCTTCCAGTTCTTCCCATCCTCATGCTGGGAAATTTTCTTAATATCTGCACTGGTTCTTTCTTTCAGGGAAGGGTGAGCAAGCACAGGACCCACCTCAATGGATGGATTTTATGTCAGCTGGCCGTGCTCAGGAGGAGATCACTCAAGCCAGAGCACCCTCACAGAGGAGAAATCTCATCTCTCTCCAACTCCATAATCACCCTGGTTTATCCCAAAGCTGCTCTACTACCAAACTGGGGTGCTGGCCCTTCCCCAGCCCTTTAGCTTGTTCTTGGGCTGGTGTCCATGGACTTGAACAATGTGCCAATACAGGGAAATTGTCTATTCAGAGGTCAAACAAGCAATCATTGGGTATTCCCCCCAGACTGGTTACTATTCCAGCTTACCACAAGGCCTCTCCCAGCCACAGCAAGAGGGGAGCAATGAGGAGTGGCCATGACCAGCCCTTGAGGAAAACCCTCATGGTGGGTAACCAACATCAACACAAGGAGTGGGTATTTTAGCTGGCCAGTGACCCTCTGCTAGCCCTTACTCTATTCCACTCTTCTCTTTCTCTGTTCCACTCTTCCCTTCCTCTATTCCCTTCTCACCACTTCCCTTATCCTACCCTCCACAGCTCTTCTCACCCATCTCTCACTTTTCTCCCACACAACCTGCCTTTGCCTCCATTTCCCTTGGCCTTCTCTACTTTCCTATTTCCTTACTTGCTCCACTACATTTTAATGATCTCCTGGATATTGCTAGAACTCACCATGCTGTCCTTGCTTCCTTGTATATACTCAGACCTCTTATCCAGGCAAATATTCCTACATATGGGAAGCACTTCAAGGATGGCAAGAAATCCAGGGGTCAAACCATCCCAACCTGCTGATGCCTGCTGTGCCAGAGGCTGGGATTCTCCTGGAGCTGTCTCCACACACCTGCTGCATCCACAGCCTACTCTGTGCAGTCAATCCCAGGAAAAACCTGTTTTTAAGGATGGGATGTGGGACATGATGGGCTGGCCCTGTGAGATACTGGAAACACTGAACTGTGGTCACAGAGGGGACAGGGTGATGGGGCAGAGGGAATCAGGCCCCTCGCTTTTGATGCCCAGTGCCAAAGCTGCAGTTTTGATGGGTTTCAGTGCTTTGAGTCATTTATTTTAGCAGGGTAATGAAGTCATGTGTAAATGTTAGATTTAGCTTTCGGCTGTCAGCTGTTCCCTCTTAAAAAAAAACAAGGAGGAAGAGAGACAGAGTGGGTGAGGGGAGGGGTGAGAAAGAGAGAGAGGCTTTCTGGTGAAGGCTGGGTAATAACTTACAGGAGCAGCTCTTGGGCTGCCAATTTAACACCATAAATCAAGGCCCGGGTATTACCCAAGTGCTCCCCACGGAGGGCTGTCGGGTCAGAACGACCACCTTTTCAAATACTGGAAATGAAATCTTCCTAAATGCTGACCAACCTCATCCCTGCCAGGAATTGCAATTTATTGCCTTATTAAAGGGCAGGAATTAGGAGGGGACAGCGAGAGGGGAGTCACTCTCCTGGCTGCCTGTGGCTGGACCCCAAGGGATGAAGTGACCCCACAGCCCAGATGGGGATGTCCCCATGTTGGTGTGGGCCAGCAGTGCCCTCTCTGCCACCACAGGAGCCATGGATTGGTTCTGGACTGCACTTAGGAGGTGCATTTAGGAGGTCGCAGCACAGCCACAAATGATGAAGAGGGGGATTTAAAAATAGTGACAGCTCTAAGCAGGCACTTCCCTCTGCGGTGCCTCGTGGCATGGAGGGGGAGAGGAAATGGGAGGGGATGGGTGTCTGCTGCCAGGGCACTTCCCAAGGGCTCCTGCATCAACAGAGACAGGGCCCTGAGGCCTTGGACAGCCCCAGCTCTGCAAGGATTTGCCAGAAAGCAGGAGCGCCTTGTTCTGCCCCGTGCCAGGGGTGTCCCTGATGGGGTGTTTGTCCCCTCCAGCTGCACAGGGGACAGTCAGCACTCACCTTGAGGGCTGATAGGGGATAAAAATACATCCAGAGCCAGCCAAGCCCTGCCCTTACTCACCTTGGAGGGAGGTACTAAAAGCAGCATGAAGGAGCCATGAAGGAATGATACCTGGGCTGGAAGGAAGAATGAGATTCCTGAGACTGCAGGGAGGGGTGGCTGCCTGGCTGCTGTGTTCCTCTATGAGGTGGTTTTGTCATAAATTCAGATTTTCCACTCTGCTGAGAACTGACCTGGGTCTTTCAGACCCTTGTGTGTGAGGACAGTGAGTCCAGGACTTGATGGCCTCTTCTTATCACAGCCTCCCATCAGAACATTGCATTCCCCCTTGTACCAGAAGGCAGCTGCTTTGGAGATGCATGTCATGTCCCTTGGCCAGCCCAGCTGCCTGCCTGGGTGACTGGCTAGGGCAGGGGACAGGTTGTGAGCCCTGGGCTGATGCCATGCACTGACCCCAGTGTTGCTGGTAGCCACAAATAGGGGCATGGAAAGAAGATTTTAATTTAATTATTTGTTCTGCCTCCTCTTAAAATCCATCCCCAGCTTGCAGTGATCATAAGAATCATCCTGAAAACACAGCAAGAGAAAATAATGGTGAAATTTCCCTGTGGCTGTGATAGGAAGCAGGCTGGCTGCAGGGATCCAGAGGTCTAGATGCACAGTAGCATTAAAGTTCACTGATTTAGACAGATTCTTCTGTCTTGTTGGAACAAATTAACTGTGTGAGATTCACTCAGTGTCTGTGAGAGGAATGGGGGGAGCAGGAAAGGGGCTGTGGTTGCTAGAGGAGATGAGCAGGATGAGGCAAGCCAGGTGTTGAGATGCTGCTGACCACAGAAAATCCTGGTTTAGGGCCACCTATGAGCTAAGTTTTTAATGTCTCCTTAATGTAAACGGTCTGGTTGGGACATCTGGCTGTCAGTGTGCCTTCTTGCCAGCAGCTGTTTGCACTAACCTGTGGCTTTCATGGAAACTGGGCTCACGAGGGCCTCGGTGTGATGTATTTATTACACAGAGGCAGCCGGCTCCCCTCTTGTCGCTCTGCTTTATGAGTGAACGCTCACTGTGAAGCCGAGGCTCATCTGATAAACATTTCAAGGTACAAAAATGCCTGTCCCTCTGGGAAGGAGAGCAGCCTGTCAATTAAAATCCTCTTATGAGATGGCCTCCCTTGGCAAAATAATTTAAAAATAATAAAAAATCCTCGTTGTCTCCTGCTGTGTCAGTGGTTCTGCTTCTGTCCAAGCTCCCTGAGAAGCCAGGCTGGATGGCAGAGCTTCTCTCTTGTCACTGGCTGCCTTGGCTTTTATAGATCCATCCCCTTGGCTGCAGATCACGTATTTCTCAGGGCACAGGAGTGCTGGGAGGAACTCCCCTGGCTCAGTGGGGACAGCAAACAGCAGCCAAGTTGACCAATGGCTCCAGTTCTAGCTGGGTCCTGGAACTGGCAGCTTAAATGTCACCCTGTTGCCCCTTAGCTTGGAGCAGGTATCAGGTTAGGCAGCATCCTTCAGTGGGTTTGGTCTCAAGTAACAGGGGAAATAAAGATATGTAAGAAGAAGCTGATGGCTCCCAGGGATTCAGAAATAAAGGAACAATTGCAAAGGACAAACAAGCCTGCAGTGTCATCAGAGGGAAGGCAGGGAGAAGATGAGAGTGGCTCTGTGCCAGAGGCCACTGAACTACCAAAGAAACTATGACTGAGGTCATCTCTGGAGAAGGACAAGCCCCAGGCCAGCTGGGATCTGTGTCCAGAAGGGGTGTAAAGTTGTGAGGTGTCATCCTGGTATTATGGAGAGATCCTCAGCCACATCCAACAAGCAGATAGGAACAAAGGGAGAAGGAAAAACTTTTGCAGGCCTGTATTACATGTTGGGGAAGATGAAGCAGGAAAGCCTTATAAATATGATTGCCTGGCAAAAGATTTTGAGAATATGGAAACTATAAGCGAGATTGAAATGAAAGCAAGCTTTGAGATCCCTCAGTTATTGAACAACTGGAAAACAATGGTGTGGCCAGCTGAAGGTGATCCCCTTTTGATGGAACAATTCCCTCTGCTTGCAGACAGGCCCAAGGGTCAGAGCAGACCCTATAGCTTGGCAGAAGGGGCCCAAAGAGGAGTTTTTAGGGTTTAAAATGTAACACAGTATGGTAATGTAGTGATTCTTATAGGCTGTATGTAAATGCTGTAGGATTTGTATCTTGTACTAGATTGGTTAGTGAGAATCAGAATATTCAACACAGAAGAAGATTTATTGTATTGTAATGGGAAACTCGCTCTCTTACCCCCTTTTACTGTCTTATGCTTTTGCTCTCTTACCCTCTCATCCTCTCTCTCCCTCTCTGGGGCCTGCTCTGAGCTGTGGCTGGCAGCTCCCAGCAGGGCCCTGCACCCAGGCTCTTTGCAATAAACCACAAGTTCCAAGCCCTGCCTCCAGAGATCTCTCGTCTCCATCCATCCTGACCGTGCTACCCTCGATGTTCTTACAATTACATCCTTTGCCCCCCACTCCTCAGTATTTCCAAGCCCCCAGCTCACCCAGTTCAGGCTGGGTGATACAAAGACCACTGAGCTGCCAGTGTCCCACCAGCATTCATCCAAGGACTGAGCAGGACCTGCTGCTCCAAGGGGATGCAGGACAGCTTGGTGAACACCAAAAGGGGGCTACAAGGAGGTCACATCCCCAGTGCCCAGGCAGAGGAGTGCTCTGGGGCAGGGCAGGACACAGGGAAGGGACAGGTACCTGGGCCCCAGCTCATCCTCGCTGCGCCACACGAAGTCCCCAAACTTCTCGTAGTGGGAGTTGTAGTGGTGCTGGACTCGGAAGAGCATGGAAGCAGAGACCTCCATCAGGGTGTTGTAGGCTGTCTGCTGCTCCTTCCCGCTTGTGTAGCCGTTGTAGAGGTTGTAGATTTTGTCAGCTATCTCTGGAAAGGATCAGGGCATGGCATTAATGACCAGCTGAAGGTGCTAACGTGGGAAGAGGAGGAGCAGAGCCCTTGGCTGGGCTGGCAGCTGGGCTGGCAGGTGGGGTTGCTTTGCCCATGCAGGGGCTGATCCTGCAGTGATGCCCTGCATGAGCAAAGCTCTCACAAACACTCCAGCAATACTCCATGAAGGAGCAGAAGGAGGAGAGGCAAAAAGCCACCAGGACAGGCAGACAGCCTTATCCTCCCAGGAAGGGAAGGCAAGCTCTTCCCAGCTTCACCAAACCAAAAGCCCTTGGCAGATAGTGTGCTAAAGAATAGGAAGAGATCAACACTTGATCTCAGGAAAGCCCTTCAGCCAGAAATGCAGCACCTCATCATTGTGGTCCTTGGCTGGAGCAGCTCAGATGTGTTAAACAAGAGCATTAACTATATACTGTAGAAAAAAAATCTCTTTTTGGAGACGAGAAATGCACAAAACTGCATCTCCTCCTTTCTCCTTAGTCTCCTGTTTGCTGTTTTTCCATGGGAATGCTTTTCTTATTGAACCTAGACCTAACCAAAATATTTTTCTGTGTGATATTCCCAAAGGAAAGCAAGGAAGAAAGAGAACAGGTAACATGATGGTCACTTAGAGGAATCCTTTAAAACTTAGAGGAATCCTTTTAAACCTGAAAGCAGCAAGGTGCTCTGGTTTGGGTGTAAGGACAAATGGGATCAGTTTCAAAACTGAACAATGCAAATGTGCAAAAGTAGCTGGGCTTTTATCAACATTTCTGTTTCCAAACTGCTGCAGCTGCCCCCAGCATCCCTTCAAACATCCAGAGGTGCCCTGCACGGCCCAGCCAGGGCTGCTTCTATCAGGATTGTGGGAAGGGATTGCTCTTCTTGCAGGGGCCTGTGTCAGACACACAGCACCAGCTCCCACAGCCAGGCATGGCAAGGATGCCATGGAGTCACCACTGCCCAGCCAAGGAGACTTTGCCCCTGGACACTCCTGCAATTTGTGACCCACCCCCAAGTGAGTATCCCTGTGCCCATGGGTGAATTTAAAGGAGCCTTCCCACTGGGAGAGAAGGGCCTGGGCAGGTTTTTGGGGGCACAGTGAAGAGAGGAAAATCAAAATCAGCAGGAAATGTCTCCTGGTGTGGAACACAAGGCAGCTGGACACTGACCTTCAGCCTTGCTGTCATCCACCAGCGGGCAGGCTGTCCTCAGGGTGACTGTGCTCAGCTCTGAGTGTCTCCCTCGTGTATCCACTGCATACAGCGTGAATCTGGAAGGCAGCAAACAAAAGGAAAACAATGTCTTGATCCCTCAGTCCCACACCACCAGGTTGTTAAGGGAACCAGCCTTCAGAAGAGAAAGGAAAATTGTGGTCCAGGCACTGTCAGTCAGTTTTGGCATCTCAAGGAGATGTGAGATGATCTCTTGGAACAGAGCAGAACCCAGGGACAGGCTACTTCATCCCTGTCTGGAATCTGTGGGGCTCCATTTCCTCTCCCCTCATCCCAGGGACCCCTATGGGGCTTCACCCTGAGCCCTGCTGACTGCAGAGGGATGCAAACACCCCAGGGCTGCTCTGCCATACTCTGATGTGAACATTACATTACACCATGGTGCTGTTTGTGATCCCAGCTCCTCTCTGGCCCTTCAGGGAGCAGGGCAGTAATTCTTGCTGTAAGTGGGCTCTGTGCTGACAAGTGACAGCTCGTACTCATCCTGTGAACGGCCCTTGAGTTGTTTGCTGCCTCGTTTCCTCACAAGGGTGGGGCTGGCTAAAGGGTGGGAATGATAATTTCACACTTGAAGCTAATGGAGAGCATCTGACAGTAAAATATGGCTTTTGTGCCTGATGGAGCATTGAATAAACAGGCTGTGGCTGCGTGGAACGTCCTGGGATGCTGAGCTCAGAGTCCTGCTCAGGGCATCAAAGCTCCAGGACGAGAATGCTTCTTCGCAGCAGGGGTGACAATCTTCTGTCCACTCTCCCAAAGGGCATCAGTTCATGTTTATTCACTCTGAGCTGGGCATGGCAACTCAGGCTGGCTTTGACAAAGTGCAGGGGCTGGTTTGAACCCCTCAGAGGTCTGAGATGCCTGGTGGTGGGGCTCCCAGCCTGAGAAATACCATGCCACCCCTCCTTAGCCTAAGGTAAAACTGACCAGCTCTTGCAAGTGAGTGTAAGGAGTATTATGAAAGCAGCTGAAGCTTAAAAGGGATTGAGACCCTGACATCTGTTTATTTAAGTAATGGTCCTAAGTCCTGAGCATCCTTGGGGGTGACAGGAGCAATGCCTCCCTCATTCCCACCCCACACACAAGCACTGCCAGCCCCCTCCCTCCTCCCTGCAGGCTCTGCACATCCCACATGTGGCTGATAAGAACTGACATCTGCACGGTAGCAATTCCCAGCACAGGACAGATTCCCTACAAGCAATTAGCATTAGCTCTCTGCCAATGCTTGCTGTCTGAAAGGATGCCAGCAGACTGCCAAGGAACTCACTTGTATGCAGGGACAGCTCCCATTCTCACAAAGCTGGGCACACAGGGGATGCACACGCTCAGCTCACCCAAGGAGATGCTGTTTAATCCTTTTGGCATGACAGCATTTTCCTTAATTTACCAGGAGCATTGCTTAGAGTGGGAGTGTCTCAAGAAGGACATACATCCACACTGTGCCACTTCACAAGCACCACACACAGGCTGCTCTCACTGTGGGACACACAGAGCAACAGGGCAGCACACAATTCCATGCAGGAGTCTGACTGCAGGGCTTTGCATCCCATCCTGAAAGGTGCCACCAGCCCTTTCCCCCCCTTCAAGGGCAGTGAGGAGTCTCCTGCTGGGAGCAGGGAAGGTTTGTGTCTCAGCAACACCAACAGGGGCACCCAGGGTTGGGCAGGGGTGTTGGGGAAGATGAAACAGGAAAGCCTTATAAATATGATTGCCTGGCAAAAGCTTTTGAGAATATAGAAACTATAAGCGAGATTGAAATGAAAGCAAGCTTTGAGACACCTCAGTTACTGAATAACTGGAAAACAATGGTGTGGCCAGCTGAAGGTAATCCCCTTTTGATGGAACAACACCCTCTGCTTGCAGACAGGCCCAAGGGTCAGAGCAGACCCTACAGCTTGGCAGAAGGGGCCCAAAGAGGAGTAATAGGGTTTAAAATGTAACACAGTATGGTAATGTAGTGATTCTTATAGGCTGTATGTAAATGTTGTAGGATTTTTATCTTGTATTAGATTGGTTAGTGAGAATTAGAATATTCAACACAGAAGAAGATTTATTGTATTGTAATGGGAACTTCATTCTTTTAGCTCTTAGCTCTTGCCTTTTACTCCCTTACCCCTTTTACTCTCGTATGCTTTTACTCTCTTACCCTCTCATGCTCTAACATGAGCCAATCCCAGATGCACCTGTTGCATTCCACAGCAGCAGATAATCATTGTTTACATTTTGTTTCTGAGGCCTTTCAGCTTCTCAGGAGGAAAAATCCTAAGGAAAGGATTTTTCATAAAAGATGTCTGCGACATTTGCTTTGGGAAAAGGGTGAGCAGAGCTAATGTGTAACCTCTGCTCTGCCTGCAGCAGCTCAGGCTGGCTCCATTAGCTCTGAGGCAATCAGTGGCAGAGCGCTTTCCTTGGAAAACAGAAGACTTTTATCAAAACATAATTGTAATATTCAGCAATCAGTGTCCATTTCACCTATTCCATCACCACTGGGGTCAGGAGGACTGGTTGGGTGTTGAAGCACATCCACCCCTTTGGGTGATGCTGAGGACCTGTGTGAGCCTTTTGACTGCACTCCTCCCCTCTGCCCAGCTCACACAGGAGCAAAGTCACTCAGCTGCCAAGAGCATCTCTCCTGGTCAAGCCTGGGTTAAAAAATAGATGTCAAAAAACAAACCCTCATTTCATCTTTCTTTTTTTTTTTTTTGGATGATGATGTAAGGGAAAAAAAAAAAAACAACAATGTAAATGGAAAAACATCAGAATCAAAGTGATTTTGATCTTGTCAAAAATTCTCTTTTTGAGAACAAACCCAACTGCTTTACCTCACCTGGAGCCAGTCCTCTTTCAAGAACCTTAGAGGAAACTCTTTCATCTCCATTCCTTGTGAATGACATGTTTTGGAGTCAGCACCAATCACCCCAGCTGGGCTGGAGGCTGGCAGCCCAGCAGCACACAGCCCCTGCACCTCTCCAGCTCCTTCCAGCCTGTGACCTCAGAAGGTTTTAACATTAATTACAGTCCAAAAGATCACCCTGAAGCACAGCAGTATTAATAGCTCTGTTTTATCGACAGTAAACAGAGACATATGGGGTGAAGCATCGTGCCCCGGAGAGGCTCAGTGACAGGAACAGTTTGAAAACTCGGGGGATGATGGTTTCCAATCTTGCTCTCAAACCACTTGACCACCCAGCCTCTGCAGCAAAACACTTTTATGGCCAGTTAATGGCACTGTGCAGAGTGCTGGGGTTTAGTTTTGTTCTTTTATTCCCGGAAATGGACAATTAAGAGAAGGGAGTGCAAAGACCTGTGTCTGTCTCTGTGTCTCTGTGCAAACCCAGCATTCACATCTTGCTGGAAACCTTCAGCTGATGCAGGCAAGGACCCAATGAGACACCAGTGGGGTGGCCAGTGGCAGAGAGACCACCAGGGCATGGGGATGTGGCTTTAAGCTAAAGGAGGGTGGGTTTGGATAAGGTATTAGGAAGAAATTCATTGCAATGAGGGTGGTAAGGTTACCAAAGCAGGTGTGGACTCCACAAGCCTGGAGGTGTTCAAGACCATCTTGGAAAAGGCTTGGAGCAACTTGGGATGGTGGAAGGCATCCCTGCCCATGGTAGAGGGTGGGAATGAGATGAGCTTCAAGTCCCTTCTAACCCAAACCATTCCATGATTCTGCATCTACATGACAAACCAGGGGAAAATCAAAGTGATCATGCTGAGGGAGGGAGCCAAGCCAAGGGCAAAGTGGGATTCTCCATGGAGATCCTCCTGTCCCACTTAAATCTATTATGGTATTGTGGGCAAAGGACCAAGCCAGGAACCATCCTCACTGATGAGGACAGAGCTGCACTTGAATGGGCCAACCCTGGTAATTTGTAAATAAATGAGGCCAAGGAGCGGTTCTGAGACCTCTGGGGTGAAGTCAAAGCCAGGAACTAAAAGGTCTCAGACCTACAGTTATTGCACAAAACCATGTCAGACAACCTGGAATGCCATATGGTAGCTACAATCTGGCAGAAGCTCCTTCATACCCTGGAGATGTTTTGTTTAGTGATAAACTTTCCTGACCACATTTCCTCATCTTCTCCCTGTGCTTTCCAAGGGAGCTCCAGGCTCCCTGCTACTGTCTCACAGCTGATTCTCTTCTTCACCTGTGCCTTCAGTAAGATCCTACACGAAAACTTGTATTTTTAGAAATACTAGAATGAATTTTAACTGAAGAGGTTTCAAAGAGGTCCAAACACACATGCTCTTGGCAGGGATCAGCGCTCCATGCCTGGAAATGCAGCAAATCACAGCATATAAAGTCCTATAAGGTAATGCTGGTTAAATGTTTACTTCTAAATTCCAATCTATTGGGACCTGAAGGAAATTTCACGGAGAAATGGAAACCAATCAACATTTGCCTCAGGAAATGTCAATACCTTCCTCATAGATTCCCCACCCAGTGTTGGCTGAAGGCTGGGTTTTATCACCAGGCTCAAGATGCTTCTTGGGGAGGAAGAGAAAGCAAGAGGGGGATGTTAATGCTTTGGTTCCTGGAACCCAGTGGCTGTTGAGATTGTCTATTGCATTTCAAGAGATTTAAATACCAGAAAAGAATGCTTCTATCCTTTCTATTTGGATATTTTCTCAATGCAGAGAAAATAACCAAAACCACAAATTTATACAGGCACAAAACTCTTAAGGCAGAGAATGAAAGCTCAAAACATGTTACTTATTTATAGTCAGCATGTTTTCTTAACTGCCTCTCATGATGCTCATGACGTTTGAGTGCTTTACTCATGATCCTCATTTGCGGGAAGCGAGATAAGGACTTCTGAGCCTGACCTTCCTTAGCTGGGCTGCTGAGTTCTTTATATCCTACAGAGATACCACAGGCATTTCTGGTCTGCCTTGTTTGCTCTTCCTGAGGCCTTTGGGCTGGTGCAGCTGCTCTGTGAGATGCTGTACCACATGGGCTGCACGGGCCGCAGAGGAAGGCTCTGATAAGGAGGAGCTCAATTAGCACTCCCACAGATGCCAAGCCCCCTTAATA